ATTATTATTATTATTACTTCATAAAGGCCTAATATATATGTGTATGTGAGCATGCATATGTCTACATGCATACTCTTTCTCTTCCGAACTATCCTATCTATTGATATTACTGTGCACATCACACTCAGGAGGAGCATTGTAGAACCCTGTGCTATTTTTTTCTTTTTCAGTCATGTTCTTGACAGGCCTATGATGGGCTACCTAGGGGATCTTCAACAACTGAATTGTGAGTTGCCAATGCATGAGGCAGAAAATGCGGTGCTTAGTTGTTTTTTGTGCAACTTGCAGAATATCAGACACTTAAGTTACATAGACAGAAGTGATAGATTGGCTCTTTTCTTCATTAATATGGCCCTAGTTTGTATAGTAAAGTGTACAGGTGCTTTCTTTTGTGTGATCCACTAAGTGATAAGAAAAGTTACATTCTGGTGCTTTTATATCTTTGTCCTCTGGCATGTTTGCTATAAAAGATCCTCATGCAGAACGTTATTATGGCATCAGGAAATACATAGTTGATAAGCAGAGATTTACAAAGACAAAGCAGAGCAGTAGATTATATGCTGGCTATTGTGACCATACAGTGCCTTCTGAGAATTAGGATCTGTTTCATGTGAAATTCATCTGCTGGCTGCATCTGGCTTTCTTTGCAATCGGTTTGCCCTCAGAAACACATTGTTGTTAATCTCCCTCATAGTTCAAATAGCTCTCTTAATAATATGAGCTAGGCTAACACTTAAGAAGTGCTGGGTATTATGTGCAAGATGTATTCCTTGTACCCTTTGTGAATTGTAAAACAGACTGGGGCTCCTGGGACAATTGTTAGTAGAGACTTAACCCCCTCATTAAATAAAAGTAAGACTCCTATTTAGCATTTTATTCAGGGAAGGTTTTAAAGTAGTGCCAGCTTGGTCCCATTTGCTTGTCTTAATAGCATTTTCTCTCTAGGATATTGTCCTTGGCATAGTGTTTGTTCTCTGTACCTGGGCCACTTCTGCCATACCTTCCCTGCATAGCAAACACTGCAGCTGGTATTGTTGTTAATTTTGTTAATGTTAATTAATTTGTATACCGCCCTTCTCCCATAGGACTCAGGGCGGTTCACAGCATATTAAAAAACAAATACTATACACAAAATACAAAAATACAGAAATACAAAAATATAAACCCCAATAAAAGCCGAATTAAAAACCAAATATTGCCAGCTGTGTTTCCGATTAAAATTACTTTTAAAATCATCCCTACCTAAAATCCTCCC